GTTGAGAGAGAGAGAGAGAGAGAAACAACAGCAAAAGCAATAATATATCTATAAATTCAAAAGCGAGAGGAGAGAGAAAGCCCAAATTCAGTCTCACTCTTTTTTGTGCAGCTGCTCCCATTTCTAGAGAGAGAAATTTGAGAAACCCTGGAAAATCATAGAGAGAGAGAGAGAGAGAGAATTCTTGAGAGAGAATGGAGAGGAGCACTCCCGTGAGAAAGCCCCACGCCTCGACTGCCGATCTGCTGACGTGGTCGGAGAATCCGGCCGATCGGGCGGCGGCGGAGTCAGTGACGCCGGCGCCGAGGCGGACGAACAAGGTGAAATTTGTTTTCTAGGGTTCCTATTCTTGGAATGATTAGCTTCTTGTTTCTAAATACGGAATGGATTTTTTTTTTCAGCCTGCGAGTGGGATCACTCCGGTGATGTTTGGAGGTCCGATGAGCGAGGAGGAGGCTGAAAAAGTGCTCAAAAGGTGAGATCCGGAGAAATTTTAAGGGGGTTAGTCAAGTAGGACTCGAAACTAGAGCTGAGGTAATTTAATTTGCGGGACAAATTTTTACAGTGTTAGTCAATTGAACTAGAACTAGGATAAAATTAATACCGTGCTAGAACTTGATAAAAAGTAGAATTGGGATGATGGTAAAAAATTATCCCACTTTTGTAATGTTTATGCAGAAAAGAGAGGGTTCCGGTCTCTCAAATTGTCCAAGTTTTAAATTAGAAGTAGATGGTAAAAAACTAGAACTTTCTTATTTGTTTTTTTATTTTTCATATTTCATTTCTCCATCCTCTTCAAACCACACCGTAAGATTATATCATGTCTCTTCTTACCCTTTTGTTTAATGTTATTTCAATTTTTTTATTAAATATCAGAATTGTATAATTAATTTAAATTAAAATTACGAAATTCAATTTTATTAAAAATTAATTGAAATTGAGAGTCTGGCAGTTCGAAAAAGAAAGAGAAAAGAAGGAAAACTTTGTTTTGTAGATTTTTATTTACAATAATAATTCCAAAAAGTTGAAAATTACAAATTATTATTATAATAATATCTTATAGTCTATCCAATAGTTCTTCAATATTAATTAGCACTAAAGAAAATAATAATTATTAATACAAATAATTTTTAAAATATGTAAATAGTTGTCTTATCATCAAAATGCACAACTTATATGCTTCTTGATTATTGTAAATTATCCCTAATTATACTAACAATTGTCCCACTAAAATATCATGTTTTAAAAAATTACTCCCAATTATCCCGCTAAAATATCCCCCTTCAAAAAAATATCCCATATTTAAAATTGTTCTACTTCTATAAAAAATGTTCCAATTGACTAATATCCCCAAGGGTTTCTCTTTAATTAAATGATGATGTCTCCATGGGTGGATGCATAGTGTGTATTAGGGGTGCGGTTACACCCTTAACATTCTACAAATTACATTTTAATGCCTCTTACAATTAAGATCAGCCCCCCTATAGTTTTAAAATTTTTGCACCCGACTTTGAATTTTCAACCAATTTGCATTTGACATTTACAAACCAGTTGCCTGTTTTCATTCAGCCCATTTGAAATTAGTAGCTCATTTTCATTTATATAAATATATAATTATGGTCCGCCCCTCTAAAAAAATTTCTAGATCTGCTACTAGTGTTTCGACCTAAAGATGTGTTTTTATAACTTGATGATGAATTTGTTGGAGATTGTTACCTTGTTTTATGATCTAGTTATAGCGTATTGATTTGGTGCGCTTAGGAGTTTTGATCAGCAAGTATTTGAGTTTTTATCAAAACATAGACATCTAGGATAGCTACTTTGAAAGCTAGGATCTTTCTTATGGTTTTTATTGTGGTAATCATCTTGGGAAACACAAAATTTCCTGTTCAGTAAGCAGATTTTTTTTTGGGGGTTGCTAAAGTAGTATCTAGTTTTCTTCCCAGTGGAAACAAATTCTTGAACGCTAATGGGTATTAAATAGAGTGGCAATTCATATTAACAGATACATATTTGGATCTACTGTAATATGAAACTGAATTTGGGAATCATAAACCCATTCTGGTTGATATAATTGATAACTGTGAAATTATTAAACTTATGGTTTTTCATTGCTCTCTTTGACGATGTGTCAGACCTTTCAATTGCAGGTGTCACCTTCTTCTAATTGATAATTGATAATTGTAAAATGATTTTTTATGATATTTTTTGCTAAATGTTTATTTTGCACCTATTTACAAAAATATCCATGTTGCACGGATCATAAGTAAATTATTTGTTTTCTGTGAATATTAGTAGGCCTGAGGTTGCATATGCTGCTTGCAGGCTGTGAAAAAATGGGAACACGGAAGGGAGAAAGGAAAATTGAATTTTTTTTGTTATTTTTTTCATTCAATTGCCGTGTACATATAGGTACAGGGAGTTAACTCTGTTACAACAAAACTCTGTTTCAACAACTAAGAAACTTAAAGGATTTGAGCTGTTGTAAATCTAAAACAAATTAACAACTTACAACCTAAAAGATTTGATTGTTAGCCTTATTGATTTTCGTCCAATACTCCCCCTCAACTTGGAGTTAGGATTGAAATGTTAATGACACCCAACTTGCTAAGTAGTCGGCGATAGGCGTCACCTCCAAGTGGTTTGGTAAAAAGGTCGGCTAATGACACCCAACTTGCTAAGTAGTCGGCGATAGGCGTCACCTCCAAGTGGTTTGGTAAAAAGGTCGGCCAGTTGATCGCTAGATCGTAGGTAAGGAGCGATAGGCGTCACCTCCAAGTGGTTTGGTAAAAAGGTCGGCCAGTTGATCGCTAGATCGTAGGTAAGGAGGAGCAAGAAGGCCTGCTTGAATTTTTTTCTCAAACAAAATGACAATCAATGTCAATATGTTTGGTGCGTTCGTGGAAGACAGGATTTTCGGCAATGTGAATAGCATCTTTACTATCACAATGAACTGAAATTGGTTGTGAATGATTAATACTAAGATCCGAGAGAAGATATTTTAACCATTGCAACTCAGAAGTAAGTGCAGCAAGGGAACGATATTCTGCTTTTGCAGATGAACGAGAAACTATTGGTTGTTTCTTGGTTTTCCAAGAAATAGGACTAGATCCTAACATAGTAAAATAACCAATGGTGGAGCGACGAGTAGTAGGACAGCCGACCCAATCAGAATCAGCATATCCAACTAAAGTAAGAGAACTAGATGCAGAAAGAAATAAACCTTTACCAACACTACCTTTAAGATAACGAAGAACACGATTGGCTGCATCTAGATGGGAGGAATATGGAGATTGCATGAATTGACTAAGAGTGTTTACAGCATATTGAATATCAGGTCGTGTTACAGTGAGATATAAAAGACGACCCACAAGTCGACGATAGATTCCTGGATCGGGAAGAAGAGTATCATCTTTTGATCGTAAACAAAGATGTTGCTTTATTGGACAAAAATCAAAGAGACTAACAATCAAATCTTTTAGGTTGTTAGCTGTTAATTTGTTTTAGATTCACAACAGCTCAAATCCTTTTAGTTTCTTAGTTGTTGAAACAGAGTTTTGTTATAACAGAATTAACTTCATGTACCTATATGTACACGGCAATTGAATGAAAGAAATAACAAAAAAAATTCTTCTTCCTTTCTCCCTTTCGTGTTCCTATTTTTTCACATGGTATCAGAGCTTCTTTGACCAATATCATCTTCCAGTCTTCATTTTTTTCTTCACCATGTCTGATGGAAATAGCTCGGTTCTAGATTCTTATGTTATTCATCACTCAGATAGCCCTTCCACCATTCTTGTTACACCTCTATTGACAAGAGACAATTATGGATCATGGAGTCGTGCAGTAACAAGGGCACTTCGTGCAAAAAGCAAACTTGGTTTCGTTGATGGGTCGCTTCCAATTCCTAAGGAGAAAGGAAGAAGATTTTTTTGTTATTTCTTTCATTCAATTACCGTGTACATATAGGTACAGGGAGTTAATTCTGTTACAACAAAACTCTGTTTTAACAACTAAGAAACTAAAAAGATTTGAGCTGTTGTGAATCTAAAACAAATTAACAGCTAACAATCTAAAAGATTTGATTGTTAGTCTCTTTGATTTTCGTCCAATACTCCCCCTCAAGTTGGAGTTAGGATTGAAATGTCAATGACACCCAACTTGCTAAGTAGTCGGCGATAGGCGTCACCTCCAAGTGGTTTGGTAAAAAGGTCGGCCAGTTGATCGCTAGATCGTAGGTAAGGAGCAAGAAGGCTTGTTTGAATTTTTTTCTCGAACAAAATGACAATCAATGTCAACATGTTTGGTGCGTTCGTGGAAGACAGGATTTTCGGCAATGTGAATAGCAGCTTTACTATCACAATGAACTAGAATTGGTTGTGAATGATTAATACCAAGATCCGAGAGAAGATATTTTAACCATTGCAACTCAGAAGTAAGTGCAGCAAGGGAACGATATTCTGCTTTTGCAGATGAACGAGAAACTGTTGGTTGTTTCTTGGTTTTCCAAGAAATAGGACTAGATCCTAACATGATAAAATAACCAGTGGTGGAGCGACGAGTAGTAGGACAGCAGGCGCAATCAGAATCAGCATATCCAACTAAAGTAAGAGAACTAGATGCAGAAAGAAATAAACCTTTACCAACACTACATTTAAGATAACGAAGAACACGATTGGCTGCATTTAGATGGGAGGAATATGGAGATTGCATGAATTGACTAAGAGTGTTTACAGCATATTGAATATCAGGTCGTGTTACAGTGAGATATAAAAGACGACCCACAAGTCGACGATAGATTCCTGGATTGGGAAGAAGAGTATCATCTTTTGGTCGTAAACGAAGATGTTGCTCTATTGGACGAAAATCAAAGAGACTAACAATCAAATCTAGATTTGATTAGGTTGTTAGCTATTAATTTGTTTTAGATTCACAACAGCTCAAATCTTTTTAGTTTCTTAGTTGTTGAAACAAAGTTTTGTTGTAACAGAGTTAACTCTCTGTATCTATATGTACACGACAATTGAATGAAAGAAATAACAAAAAAAATCCTTCTTCCTTTCTCCCTTCCGTGTTCCCATTTTTTCACATGTTGTCAGAGCTCCTCTGACCAATATTATCTTTCAGTCTTCATTTTTTTTTCTTCACCATGTCTAATGAAAATAGCTCGGTTCCAGATTCTTATGCTATTCATCACTCAAATAGCCCTTCCATCATTCTTGTTACACCTCTATTGACAAGAGACAATTATGGATCATGGAGTCGTGCAGTAACAATGGCACTTCGCGCAAAAAACAAACTTGGTTTCGTTGATGGGTCGCTTCCAATTCCCAAGGAGAAAGGAAGAAGATTTTTTTTGGTTATTTCTTTCATTCAATTTCCGTGTACATATAGGTACAGGGAGTTAACTCTGTTACAACAAAACTCTGTTTCAACAACTAAGAAACTAAAAGGATTTAAGCTGTTGTGAATCTAAAATAAATTAACAGCTAAAAACCTAAAAGATTTGATTGTTAGTCTCTTTGATTTTCGTCCAATACAGGCACAATGCTAATTTAAGATAGCCGAAGACAATATTTAACTATTTATTAAGTTTACGCTCACAACAAATATTTTTCTTTATTGAAATTGTAGGGATGGTTATACAAGTATTGAAAAATTGTACAATTTAAAATAATTCTGAGCTAAAACTCTTAAAACATGAAGTACTGTTAAAACTGATGAATATGTTAGGCTGAGTCTTTTTTTCCCTAGATAATTGTCGTACAAGTTCCTCTATTTTTCTGATAGGTTCATGAAGTACTGTTAAAACTGATGAATATGTTAGGCTGTCTTTTTTCCTTAGATAATTGTCGTACGAGTGCCTCTATTTTTCTGATAGGTTCATATATGATGCATGGCACTATGCAATAGAAAAACTTAACGTAAGATAAGTTCCTCAAGTGGATTCTATATTTTTCTTGATGTTCTCAGATGTTTCAAATTATTTATGCTGCGCTGTGATGAACTGTAAAGCAATGTACCTGAGCTCTTTAACATGCAGCCATGTCCTATTTCAACAAAATTACTTCTGTTTAATCCTAATTGCATCTCAGTGGATTCTATATTTTTCTTCAAATAGAAATCCTTTAAATCTTACATTTAAGCTCTAACTATAATGAACCAACCGGAGTAGTATTCTTTTCTTAGAGCAGACGAATTGTGTGCCACTTGAATTGATGGAGAATACTACGCACATAGTTTGCTTTTCCATTGTGGTTTCCAAACAAGATAAAGTTAAAAAAAAGACATTCGAGACTTTGGAGTCGTATGTTCTATATATTTTGTTGATAACTGCATGTAGATTTCTGTCTTTTCTGCTGAACTTTTTGTTTTTTCTGCTTCCAGTGCCAGGAAACCTTGTTCAGGCTCTAAGTTAAGAGAGTTTACTGGCAGTGGTATATTTGCAGCTGACAGTGAAAATGGTGCATCAGAATCTGGTAGTGCTGTGACAAATTCCACTAACAAGACCGGTTTACGCATTTACCAGGTAGACCAGATTAAATAAACCTCAACCTTCCTTTCTCAAGCTGTTCGTTTTGGATGTACTTGGTAAAATTCTTCTATTTCGTCACAATTATAATCTGCTTCCGCCCAATATCTTTTAAAATGCTGTAATCTCATGAAGTTTGAAAAATTCATAAAGCACGTTGATTCAATACTCAAAAGAAAAGGAAAAAAGAGTTTTTTATTTTTTGTTTTATTTATACATTTAGATGATCAGAAGCGCCAAGTCAATCTGGATCAGCAAAGCGCAATAGGAATTGGAAATAATAATTGTTAGATTTGAAATACATTCATAAGTTATAACCATTATGTTATAAGTATGTAATTTCACAAATAGTTGCAATCTAACAAACTTTTAATGAGAGTAATTTTATTTGGTGAGGGACTGAAGCAACCTTTTTTCATGTCCATCAGCAAGCAGTTAATGGAATTAGCCAGATCTCTTTCAGTGCTGATGAGAGTGTTTCACCAAAAAAGCCTACCACATTGACTGAGGTGGCGAAGCAGCGAGAACTAAGTGGAAATCTAGAAAGTGAAGCTGAGGCAAAATTGAAAAAGCAGCTATCTGAAGCGAAGTGCAAAGAGCTTAGTGGGCATGACATCTTTGGTCCTCCACCTGAGGTGCCACCCAGGCCGTTGGCAGCTCGAAATTTAGAGTTGAAGGGACACCTTGACTTTGGAGAATCCCCTCGAAGCGTGCACACATCTGTAAAAGTATCTAATGTGAGTGAGAAGGTGGATGAAGTTATTTTTATTTATATTTTTGTTTCTTAAACTCCATTATAATTAACCTTTTCCCCCCTCTTTTTGATATAGAAACACATTCACTCTACACTTTGTGTGTGCTTGCACATGCAAACATATGTACAAAGACAACACACGAAGTATTGATAAGATGGAATATTTGCATTACGGAGTATTTGTATTATGTGATAGGAAACTCCTTGCACTACACAGGAAGCACATGCATCAATTATTTGTAGGTAGGAAACTTTGCGATTTGAACACACAGGTACGCGTGCTTGGACATGCATGACACAGATCTTCATAAGCATTTACACTTATACATACACTGAATTAAGTATGTTTAATATAGAAAATCCATTTGTTTGTAGGCGACAATGTGACATATGCAAGAAGTAGTTATAAGAGCAAACTTTCCTACAGCCTACGCATTTGCACATAGACAAGATACGCTTGTAAAATAGGATATCTGTTACGTGACATCTTATCACCTCCTTTTAAAATAGAATTCTTCCTTCAGCTTTCTCATTGCATTTCTTCATAAGGTAGACACAAGTTTGAGGCTTTTCTGTCATTTCCTGAAGTCCTAGTGGGTCAAATTTCCTGATATTTAAAAACTTTACTGTAAACAGCCTTCTGGGGGTCCAAGCAACATCAATTTTGGCGAGGTGCCTGAGGTCAAGACGGCCAAAAAGATCCACAACCAGAAATTTCAAGAACTTACTGGCAACAACATCTTCAAAGGCGACTCTCCACCCGGTTCAGTTGAGAAGCCACTGAGTGTTGCTAAGCTTAGGGAGATGAGTGGCAGCGATATATTCGCTGATGGCAAGGCATCAACAAGGGAATACTATGGTGGAGTGCGCCAGCCTCCTGGTGGTGGGAGCAGCATCGCTCTGGTTTAACTTGGCGCCCTTCTTCTAACCTTAGTTTCTTAGATTTGGACCCTGATTCTTCAAGTGATTTCTCTCTCAGCAGCATATATGCTTGAGTTGGTGAGGAACTGTTATTATATAAAAGTGCTTTATCTTTATGTGTCTAGCTTATATGTAGACACGGTGACTGTAGTCTTAGTTTGGTTCTAGGTGACCTATTTGGGCTTGGCTTTCTGTTTGTAGTGACATAACCGGGTTGATTTGGACTTATATATCAATTTGATTTACACTTGTTGGGGTTATGCTGAATGAAGGATTTTAGAGCTGTTACTTTTTGGGGCATTCCACGGTGTTGTGTCTGTAATCTATTATGTAGTTGTACAATAATACGATCTCTTTGCTTGGTTTTAGGTGTTCTGTTTGGCCTTAGCTTTGAGTTCTGGTACAGAACTGCTTGATTTTGGACTTGTGTTCATCAATTTGATTGACAACTGGTTGATTATACAGATTGTTTATGCATACTTAGCCGGTAATTAGTCTCGTTAGATGATCTCTTGCTTCTCTGGAATTTGTACGCTCTTGGGTTTCAAAGAAACATGGAAGGTTTGGGGGGAATAATTAGCATTTACTAGCACTTACCGGTTTGCCTGTGACTCATCCAAAGCTGGACCGGAACTACTCCTAGCTCGGTTCTATACTGAACCAACGGGGTACTGGTCCAAACGGGGTACTGGTTCAAGAAAGAACTAGTTTTAGATCCTCTTTTACGGACTAAAAAAAACCAGCTGAGCAATTTCCCTCCGTTTGCCAAATAAAAATAAGTTCAAAATTGGATCAGATAGAGGCTTGATCTAGTTACTGGACCGGAACTACTCCTAGCCCGGTTCTATACTGAACCAACGGGGTACTGGTTCAAGAAAGAACTAGTTTTAGATCCTCTTTTACGGACTAAAAAAAACCAGCTGAGCAATAGCCCTCCGTTTGCCAAATAAAAATAAGTTCAAAATTGGATTAGATAGAGGCTTGATCTAGTTACTGGTCCAAACGGGGCATTGGTCCAAGAAAGAACTAGTTTTTTTTTTTTTTTTGAAAAGAGAAAGAAATCCTCTTTTACAGACTAAAAAACCAGCTGAGCAATAGCCCTCCGTTAGCCAAACAAAAAGAAGTTCAAAATTGGATCAGATTGAGTCTTGATCTAGTTTAAAGAGCTTGCCATACACACCCGAGTCGGTGTTTGATTTGGCCGCATTTTCCTCTTTACTTCATTTCTCAATTAATTCCCATGTTTTTGTCGCTAGATAGAGCACAACGTTCCTTTAATCAATTGAGAAAAAATTTTATTACAAGAAAAATGTCATTTTGGAACTTTTGATTAGCTTTCTTTCTTGTTAGCTGTCAACTTGACCCGCATGTTACCGCGGCATTTATGTGATAAAATCAAAAAATAATGGTTAAGTATTTTGCTTAGAAAATTCTTTTTTAATTTATGGATAAAAATATTTTTAGGATTTACAATATGGGTAAATTAGCATGAATGAACAAAAACATGGTTTAAGCATTTGGTTTAAAAAAATAAGCTTGTCAATAAAACTATTTTTTGCTTTTGTATCATAGATAAACTACTGCATGAAAATTTTAAAAAATAATAATTTAAGCATTAGAATAATTCTAATGCCTTTCGTAGTTGTGTTGTAGATAAAGCCAAAAATAATAATATTTTAAGCATATTAATATGGAGAAAGCCTAAAAAGAAAGGCTCATTTTTATTTAGAAAAAAATATTAGCTAAAGTATTTGTACAATACTAATGACTCATTACGTACACAAATTAGTATGTAGAAAAAAAGGCTCATTTGATTTAGAAAGAAATATTTTCAAAAAATGGTTGCTCACAATTTCAATAATTTCATATTAGTCCCTCAATTCTCAATAATTGCCTATTAGTCTCTCAGATTCTAAGGGGTCTTACAATTTGGTCACTTAATGATGAAAATAACTCCTAGTTATGATTTCTCTCTTGAAACTCATCTTGCTAAAAAAAATATGATTATTTACACTTGAGCAATCTAAAGTTTACACCTTTTAACTTCAATAACAAAGATTTTTGGCAATTAGATACCCTAAAGTTCACACCTTTTTTACTTTGATACCTCAAAGTTTTTTCTTGACACTTTTGTTAAGACAGTTTATATCTTGTTAACTTTGATACACAAAGTTTTTTATTACACTTTGATACATTAAATCTTTAAGGTATAAAAGTTAAAAATTGTATAAAGGTTAGGATAGCAAAGTGTCAAAAAAAGTTTAGGGTATAAAAGTTAAAAAAAGCATAATTTTGGGGGTATCATAGTGTCAAATAAACTTGTGAATATCAAAGTTTTAAAACAGTGAAAACTTTAGAGTGCCAAATTGCAAACAACTCTTTAAAAATATTAGCTGGTGGTATTTTGGACATTGAGGGGTAAAATTGCAATAAGACTAGGGTTTAACGGAGTAATGAGTAATTATTTAGATTGAGATACTAAGATGAAATTAGTGAAGATTTGAGGGACCAATATCTAAACAACACTATGTATAAATACCCTCTAAAATGCTAAATTGCAAATACACCTTTAAACAATATTAGATGAGAGTATTTTCATCATTGAGGTATCAAATTACAACGACCTTAGAATTTGAGGGACTAATGAGAAATTATTGAGATCTAAGGGGCTAATATGCAACTATTAAGAATTTGAAGAACTAATCAGCAATTACTGAGATTTGAAGGGCTAATATGTAATTATTGAAGATTAGAGGGACTAGTACTAAATAATAACCTTAATTTTTGAAAAAATGGGGTTGCAGAGATTCGAACCTACAATCTTTAGATTGCTTTTGTGGGCTTTAACCGACTAAGACATGCTTTGATCGATTTTTTTTTCACGAAAAGATAATAGAAAATTTATTATTCATTTCCACAATGGCTACAGTACTAACCCCAATACATTAGTATATACAAGCAAAATTGACCCGCACGTTGCCGTGACATTTGCGTGCAAACAATTAAAAATACATTATACACCTATACTCTAAATTAAATAGTAAGTTAAAGCAAAATATATCATCTTACAATGATACAAAACTAAACATATAATTATTTAAAATAATTCTTTTAAGTACGTTAGATCCAAGGCGATCTAGAAAGTGTGTGAGTCTAAAAATAAACGAAGGTAAAACTTTCTGTTTAGAGATATTTTTTTAAGTGAGTGAGTTTAAAAATAAATGAGGCAAAAAGAAAACCCATCTACGGTTTACTATGCTACAACATTAACACGGAAAAACCGAAAATATAACGGTTAAGACATATGGTTATATGTTATACCTGACCATTTAGAAAAAAATAACTATGAATATGAGTGGGCTCAAAAAATGAAGGGGAACTTTGGGCTTAGAGGCAAAAAAATTTATGGATTAAATATTTAATTAAAAAAATATAGTGTAGCTAACTAGTTAAAACAAAAATATAATGACTCATAATGTATATCAAACAGTTGTAATACAAAATAGATTTAAAAATAACTAGTATAGTGCACGTACTTTGCACATGAATGTACATGTTTTAAGTTTTAAATTTTTATGAATAATTAAACTGTCTGTTAATAAATAAAATTTTATAATCAGATTAATTTAAAAATATATGAATTAATTATTATTGTGTAAATTGAATTTTTTATCGTGATTTTCCCTGTGCTAACTTTTTTAAATAAGTCCCCCGAATCTAATTTCTTATATAATGTCAATTTTATAAGTTCTCTTATATACACCCCTCCAACTTGAATATTAACTTAATTCTGAATTAATTAAACTGCATTAAATCCTACTAGCTTTTTTCTGATGTTTCCGATATAATAAAGTTAATACCTTTAACACATTGTAGTAATTATTTCTCATTATAATTATTTAATAGGGTAAATTACATTAAGCACTTATGAACTTTTAGCCCCTATGAACTTTTAAAATCTCAATAAACCCCTAATTGCTTTTCTGCTTCAAAGAAGAACCCCCAAATAATTTTCTAATATTTGCATATAACCCTTCTGAATTAGAACCAAAAAATGACATAAAAAGGCATTTTCAAACTTAGTGGAGGTTTGGTATAATTTATTTAAAAGATATTGGGGGCTTTCTACAAAAGTTATTAAGGGTTTAGTGTGATTTTGAAAATTTATAGGGCCTATTTACTACAAAATGTCGAAAGTTCATGAGGGTTTACTATAATTTACCTTATTTAATATTATTATTATTAGTTCAAGTAATATTACTAAAATAGGTATACTATTTTTATACTATAATATATTTATCTAATTTAATTTTTTAATTATGCATTTAAATAATTTAGTACTATAAATATTTTATAAATTTTTATTATATTATCATTAATAATTAATAGTGTGATTATTAATATTAAGTAATGTTTTTGAAAGGTTAGTTTTCAATCATTGCCAAGTATAGATTATTCAGTATCATGCAATAATCTTTGAGAAAATACTTAAAAAATAATATAAAATTATTTATTCAATTTATGTAATAATATAATACAAAATAAATAGTGTAATTCATAATTTATGTGATATCACTACATTAATTACACAATTTATGCGGTTAAATATTTATTCTATTTATTTTATTGATTATAGAATTATAGTATAATTCTTAATAGTATTTAGTAATATGTTATTCTATTTATAATATTATTTTAATTATTTTATTATATTTTATAAATAATTATTATAATAATTTAATTGGTTACTACTAATACTTGTTTATACTTATTTTATAAATTATTTTATTATATTTGTTTTAATCAAGTAATAGTTATAATTTTATTGATAATTATAATTATTTAGGAACTTGAGGAGGTTCATAATTAATAAGAGGTTGTATTTATTTCATGATAGATTAATTAGAGATAATGGCATAGATAAATGTTGATGGCTGATATCAAACAGTCACTATGAGAAAATATTAAGTTGATGGAGGTCCTCTAAC